CTTATCACTCTGCCCACAAACACACTCGTAGCAATAACATGAAATCTATCTAAATCCTCGAGCCAACTTCAAGTTACCGTTGTAATGGGTGTATTTCTCAAGTAGATGCCCTACTTGTTGATGCCCGCCATCGCGGCCAGCATTGCATCCCCAATCTTGGCCGGGCTGTCCGTCACAATCGCGCCCGCTTTTTCAAGGGCAGCCACCTTGTCCTTGGCGGCGCCCTTGCCCCCCGCGATAATCGCGCCCGCATGGCCCATCCGCCGGCCCGGGGGCGCGGTGCGGCCGGCAATGAACGCGACGACGGGCTTGTTCTGGGTGTTGTGAGCCGCGATGTATTCAGCGGCTTCTTCCTCCATCGAGCCGCCAATTTCTCCGATGAGTACGATACCTAAAAGGGGGGGGGGAGTGTGAGAAGGGTAAGAAGAAGAAGAATGGGGAGAACTGACCCTTGGTGTTAGGGTCGTTCAAAAAGACCTTTACGGACGTCGAGGTGCTGTGTACCCGGGAAGGGGTCCCCGCCGATTCCGACGCAGAGGGACTGGCCCAAGCCGACTTGTGTAGTTTGCGCGACGGCTTCGTAGGTGAGTGTTCCGGACCGAGATACGATTCCTGTATACCTTGTCAGCTTGGGGGGGGGATAGTAAGAGTAGGAGGACACACCAATACTCCCAGGCATATGAATATGGCCAGGCATAATACCCATCTTGCACCCGCGGGGGTTAATCACGCCAGGACAATTCGGACCTACAAGGCGACTCTTGCTCTGGCTCTTGAGCGCGTTCATCACCCGGATCTCGTCCGCCTGGGGGATGCCCTCAGTGATAGCGACAATCAAGCCTATCTCGTTTCTCAATGGCTTCTATGATGGCATCGGCAGCGGAGGGCGGCGGGACGTAGAGCACGGTGGCGTCGGGCTGGGCTTCGCGGACGGCTTCGCGCACGGAGGCATAGACGGGGAGGCCGAGGTGGGTGGTGCCCGCTTTCTTGGGTGAGACGCCCCCGACGATGCGGGTCCCGTAGGCGAGCGCGGTCGAGGCGTGGAATGTGCCCTAGGAGAAAATAAGCGAGCATTCAAGGATAGGATAGGATTGCGCACGGTTTTTCCTGTAAAGCCCTGGATGAGAACCTTTGTGTCTGCGTGTACGAGCAGGTTGGAGATGGTGTCTTCGTAGCTTCGGCGGGCAGCGGTATGGCTGAACGTCCGGCGTCCGGCTGGGGTTGTGGCATTTAGCCGAGAACACGAGACGCGACAGGACGATACGCACCGAGTTTAGCAGCGTGAACCTGTGCGGCGCGATACATTACTTGTGGCGTGGCGGGTGGGGGACTCAAGACAACACCCGGGATAGCCCTCAGTGTTGGTGACTATTTGGCTGTGACGTCTTGACGCGTCTCCGCTGGATTTTCAGACTGAGAATGGCGCACCGTCGACTGCCACCAATGCGCGGACGGCGCCCCGTCTGTATTCCGTTGCGCGAATTCTAGACTTGCTACGCGTGGGAACCTCTCGCACATTTTTCGGTCACTGTACTCACGACGTCAGCTGCTCGCCAAACCAATCGATTGCGAGGTATTTGTATACGCGTCGTGTCTTCCTGCAAACTCTACGACCTCTCTATCGCCGCTCTTCGTCCTTTCAAGACGCGCCACAATTGACTTGGACATTGACTGTTCAGCAACATACAGCATTCAGGCCAATCTATCATGGGACAGGTGCGGGGATTAACTATGAAGAGGACGGCACCTTGAATGGCTTCAAGATGAGCCACTGCTTGGGTAGACATGACCTCCAACGACGTGTACAATTGAGTGGCCGAAACTTGGCCGAATGCAACAAGTCAGCCTTAGTCAGTACCGGAAAATGCCGGAAAGTCGCGTTACCTCCTGTCACGCCTACATTTTTGCTCAGCACCGTCATGCCCATCCGGCTGCGGTTCGCCCTCCACGGGACGCGCAACAACCGCATCTTCCACCTCGTCGCCATCGACGCCCGCCACGCGCGCAACGCCGCCCCCGCAGAGCTCCTCGGCATCTACGACCCGCGCCTCCCCGCTACCATACACCCCGACGCCACACGCCGCACCCCAAATACCTACAACGTTAAAGAGAACCCTGCAAGGACAGTCAGGTGGAGTGTTGATAGAATCAGGTATTGGCTTTCTGTGGGAGCCGTTCCGAGTAAGAGTGTCGCGCGTCTCTTGGAGGCTGGAGGTATTTTGGGGAAGGAAGGGAAGAGGATTGTTCCTGAGGGTGTTTCGATACACGCGTTGAATACAAAGTGTAGTCGCTGTGGCGTTGATGGCCATGCCGTCCGCGACTGTGACCAGCTGCCTGAAAAGGTTGTCAAAGTATGTATTTTGTTCTCTTGGAATACACGTCCTAACATACACTCAAGCAACTAGCGACAAAACAGGAGGAGGCGGTGGAGGAGGAAGTGAAGGAGGAGAGAAAAGAACCACAAAACGCATTCGCCGACCTCCTCAAAGCATCCCGCGAATTCGCCGCATCCTCCACCACACCCACCACCACCACCACGCCCCTCCCCGTCATCCAAGACCTCACCACCCCTTCCGAGCCCCGCCAATCCCTCCTCGCCGACATGGACATCGTTCCCCCAGCCGCTCCCCCCTCGCCGGGTACACCATCGACTCCCTCTCCTCCATGTCCGAAGACGAGATCACCATGCTCTTCACCTTTGGGAAGAATGGGAGGAGGCCCGCCTCGACCGCATCCGCGCCCGCCGCGAGTTTGAGAATGAGCAAGAAGACTTGGACGACGATCTCAGAGAGGCGCTCCAGCAGGAGTGGGACGACATGGGCCCAGAGCCCGATATCTACGGCTATAATCAGCTGGAGGATGAGAGTGATATGTATGCCGGGGAGGGCGAGGGTGAGAGGTATCCGTTGTATGAGAAAAAGGTTGGTGGTTTATGCTCCTGCTTTCTCATGACTTTGACTGATGCGTGTGTGTGTAGGACATTGAACGCGAATTCGAGAAAATACGCGATCAAACGACGCCCGCGCACAAGTTTGTGCCCAGTAAGCTGAGCAGGAGGAAAGCGGACGCCGCGAGAAGGAGTGGAAGGCCCAACGCGAGGCCGAGTTTGTCGCGGAGAAAATCAGCGCTCTCAAGGCCCAGCCAGACTTGGTTGAGCCGTCGGACTTGGAGGCCCTGTTCAGAGATGTGAAGAAGGATGTGGATCTGGAGAAGGAAAGGGAGGCTGTTTTGGAGCATGTGGCCAAGGGGAAGAGCTTGAAGCGGTGATTCTCGCAAGTTGGATAGAGTAGCGATGTTTCTTTAATGCCCATGATTATGTGTGGCGTGTGTTTGGCGATCATGAGTATGCGTGGAGGGCCATAAGTCATCTCTGATAGTATATCGGTTAGTACACGCGCCTGTCATGACCCAAACACGATGATATACATGTTTGCGCGCGAAAGCTGGGTTCGACTCCCAGTCAGAGAGCTACAGTGTACGGCCCAGACTAACTTTTTTCTTTGCTATGGGTAACGGATAGGGTTGTGCAGTATATTCCCCCGCCCGGTTACTAACATCGGCGGGATATACGGTGTTATTAGCAGTTAATAACCGCCCACGTGATGGTATGTGGCGCATTTTCCCCTCACCCTTCCATTTTTGGCTTCTCATCCCTCAAAATGAATAAATTCAAGGCTAATTCAGTGCATTCTCTACTCAAAGGTACCTTGCTCATGCTACAATATGAGGTGTTCTAGTGTCTCGATGATCCGACGACTACACCATCACTGATCACATGACTGGCAGGTTGATAACCCCGCTTGATTCTTTTGGGGGTGTTATTAACCTGGTTATTAACAGTTAATAACCGGTTAAATATCCAACGGCGCGATATTGGGGGTATCCTGCGCAACCCTAGTAACGGAACAAGTTACAATTATTTGAATTTTGAATTTTGAGCAGCTATGTGTGGCAGGTGCCTCGAGCTGCTAAGTGCTTATTATCCAGGTCCCAGGACTGGCGCCTCACTGCCACTGCAGGGCCGAGCTGAAGAAACACGTCCCATTTCGGTAGCGCATTTTTAGAAAGCCTAGATTCGCCGGCTCCCCACAACGCGTGTGCATTCTCTTTCTCTTTTCCTAAACTCCCATCCTTGCTCTTCAGACTTCCAGCCTTGTCAGTTGTCCATTTCTCGCACCACCCACCTATCATTTGTCTTGATCCATCCGGAGTTCTCCGCTTGCTTGATTCCAGCCCAATCATGTCCAGGTGTCTCGTTCTGCTTTCCACCGCAAGTGGATCCGGAGACCTCTCCCCGAAAACCCCAGGATACATTGTCATCTTCAATGAGTCCTCCGAGTTCTTCTGCTTTGTTCTTCTCCGGTATAAAAGTGATCTGTGTCGCCTTGGGTGGTGGAAGGCACGCCTCGGATTGGTTACGCCAAGTTGGCAAGCGCGTTCTCCAGCTCGGGTGCGCCGGCGGTGGTGGTGTAGGAAGTGGTTCCGGGCCTCCACCAGGCGCGGAGGAGGAGGGGGACTGTTTGGTTTCGCGGGCAAGTTTGGTCTGAGCGAATGTAGTACAAATAATGGGCGCAGTGAGTTAGTTGCGCGGTCAGAAAGGATGGCAGAGAGAGGGCAGGTTGCAGCAGCAACTTACAGCCAAGAAAGGTTAAAACGTATTGCTGGCCATCGGCTCGAGACTGACTGCCCAGAATGTTGATGAACCAATAATACTAAAATGTCTCATTCAAACACAAGTATGTAACCCCAAGAAAAAGAACGCATCACTGAAAGAACAAACAAGAAATGAAAGCCCAAAAACGCCGTTACTACTTCTTGCAATACCCCGCACTCTCAGTGATAAAGTTGATAGACCCATCGGGCTCCGTCTGCCCACCGCAGTTATCGGCATCCTTCTGGTCGTGGCACTTGCTGAACAGCGCGCAAGTCAGCTGGGTGCTGCCGTCCTATATTATATCGCATATTCAGTATCAATCCACTAAAATTGGGGCGGGATGGGGAAGGGGTCACCTTGGCGTTGTTGTCGTGGTAGGCTTCAATGAACGTTCGTGAGCAACTTGGCAACCAAGGAAGAACGTGGCGGGGGACTCACTATTGAAAAAGACACAGCCATCGACGCCCGTGCACATGGTCTCGCAATCTAATTGAAGAGTTGAGCGACATCCAAGCCCGGGCGAGCCACAAACCATCAACAGTATCCACAAGCCCATACGTCAGATAGTCGTCCGCCTGCACCGCGCACGTCCCGTTCGTAAAGGTCGGCGTCCACGGGTTCGACGGGTGCGACGGCGGCTTGGGGCAGTGCAGGCACAGCGGGAGGAGGTCCAGGAGCCGGCAGATCAGCTACCAAAAAGTCATACATAACACGATGGGGGAGTAGTAGAATCCGTACGCCATCTTTGAGCCACCGACAGATGCTCTGGAGGTTCTGGGGGTGGTCGCCGTAGTACCACCCGGGCTTGCAGCCCTTCTGCCACGGCGGGATCGGCGCGCCGTAGTGGTTGGCGAGGGACAGCTCCCCGCCGAGCGCCGCGGAGAGCGTCGCGTCGCTCGACGCGGTGGACGCCAAGGCGGCACCGGCAGTCGCAAGGGTTGCGGTGAGGATCGTGAAGAAGCGCATTTTCAGAGAAAAAGATTTTTTAGCTAAGGAAGAGGAGGAGGATTGTCGAGAAGTGGAATGTTCAAGACGATGGGGAACTCTTACTCGTCAAAGCAGAGGGTTTTATACGCGCGAGCGTTTACCGCCCATCACCAAAAGTTGGTCCTTTCGAATTAGAAACCGCGTCGGAGATGGAGGGGCTGTCAAGGGACTCAATGAGAGTAACGTGTTGAACGCGGTGAATGTCTGGGTCCTGCGTGTATGCGCCCTGGCCTTGATGTACAGCACGCCGGCGTTCGCCAGTGATAATCAGTATACACAGAAGACGTCGGCGGTTGGAACGTGTGCTGTAGAGTACCACCGTGGCGGCCCTTCATGTCGAGCATAGAAAGGACTCTGAAGAATAGCCTGGAGCTCGCGGAGTTTGTGACTTGCAGAGGGAGAGACGCGTTGAGCAAGTCCGACGCTGACAAAGGGTCTTCAACACATCAAATTTTCAAATCTGTCAGTGAGTCAGTTTTGTTCGGGCTCTTGTGATGTGAGATACGGCGAGACCTGACCTGTCAGGGAATCCAAGAGAGCTTCGCGGGTGTAAGAAGAGACGTTTGTCATGTCAGGCCTAAAACTCCCCCAATAGTGGCATGTTAATAACTGCAGCTACGAATGTCTTCTCTGTGAAGGGGTTTCTCGAAGAGACTGCGGACTGGCAAACTTCTCATTGTACGCAACACGTTCCAACAGAATGAAAGCGCCGCCGGTATAACAGTAGGCAGGCGTAAAAGACTCGAGTCTCTGTCTGTTGTGCATAACTCCGACGAATTGTTTGAGAGTTATGGTAGACGTGCACCTCGTATGGTCCCCTGTGCCTGCATTAATGAAGAAGAGAAAAAGCCTCGGCTCTCGAGGAACGTTGGGGAAGTCGTACGACGCAGTCCAAGTTTAGAAGATGGGCCCGTGCGTGATGCAAATCTGAATCATATGATGAGAGGCGGAACTATGCAGATGTATGTGCTAAATTGTGTTCGTCGACACGTTCTTCGGCGGTCGGGGCTGTAGATTCAGAGAAGTTACTCAGGCCTTCTTGCTGGCTGTACCTTCATTTCGTCCTGACAGAATGCATAGTCTGGGCAAGGACTGAGGCCGATGTGATACGGCCGGTGGTGACCCTTTCCAGCAGTGTAACAAGAGATACGGGGGACGAAGCCTAGATGCATTTGTTAGATGTTGTCACTCGTTATTCCTTGAAGCTTGAAGACCTAGCGCCCATAAAATGTGCAATTGTCATTGTGGATTCAAAAGCTGTATAACCTCCTCATGGCCCAGCTCGATTGCAACATCAAGCGGGGTCATCCCATCTTGATCCTACAAAAATGATTCAATCTTCAAGTACAGCAAAGCGCGGAAAGAGAACATACCTTAACATCAATCTTTGCCCCTCGTTCAAGAAGCCTCTTAACCGCAACATCATCTCCCCGGTCGGCAGCGCGGTGTAACGGCGTATACCCCTTGACAGAAAGATCCCATCAGGCAAGGAAAAGAGCGCGAGACGGAGGAAAACACACATATTCGTCTATCGCGTTTACATCTCCATCCCCATCTCCGTCCTCCGTATCCGGAGCATCAGCATCATCCGTCCGGCGCATAGTGCTCACGGAGACACCAAATCCCGCGCCCTTGGACGTGCTCGTTGACGGTTCAGAGTTATCCAGATTATCCCAGTCGATATCCTCCTCCTCTTTCTTTAGCAGCGGAATATCGGAAGAGGGCCCAGGCCACCCCATCCCCTTTGCAATCTCCATATACCTCTCCTGCGCCTCTGTCTCATCCATGTCCTTGCCTCCCAGTTTATCCCAGGCATCCCACTTGGCGCGCCCCGTCCAATCAAGGAGCCCCGGACGCGTCGTTGTAGGCTTGGGCCCGGATGTGACGTATTTGTAGAGCGCGTATAGTTCTAGTTTTGTTTGGGTAGATGGAGATGGGGAGGAGGGGGAGGGGGAAGAGAGGTATGCTGCTGCGGAGTTGAAGGCGTCGCTCATGATGTAGAGTTTATCTCGCCAGTTTAGAGATTCGAGCACTCCTGTATTCGGTCGTGAGTAGGAAATTACAAGAGACTTTTCTTTTGACGTGATGGTGAAAAGAAAGCAACGATCGAGCCGTTGATCAACAACAACGCACCTTGCTCTCTCACCACCACCATCACATCATGGCCTCGCAAATCCTCCCGCTCGAGCTCATCGATCGCTGCATTGGCTCGCGCATCTGGGTCATCATGAAGAGCGAGCGCGAGTTTTCCGGGACGCTCTTAGGATTCGATGACTTCGTTAGTGCGTCTGCGTATTCCAATCTCCAACTGAATTCTCATGTTTCCCGTCCCTTGCTCTCACTCTACTGTCTGCTAAACTCCAACCTACCTCAACCGGGACTAAAACGCGCATAGACATGGTTCTCGAGGACGTGACTGAATACGAGCGCACGCCGACAGGGACGAAGACAACCAAGCTCGCACAGACACTCCTCAACGGTAATAACATATGTATGGTAAGTACTGCTCGTCGTGTTTGATTCCATTTTGGATGTGATCTCGTTACTATGAATTGTTTCCGCACCATGATCCCACTTCATTCGCGTTTCCTGCTATTTCACCAACTGTCGAGTAGATGCTCATCTTCTCCCTAGCTCGTACCAGGAAGCAATGGTCCCGAGGAGTAGCGCGGTGCATTCGCCTCGAACATACTTCGAGAAACCCACGTCGTGTCGGGTGTCATGGGGTGTAGGGGAAACAATTTGGCAGTCATACGAAGGAGTTCTGAAGGAGTTGTGATTCGAAAACGTCGCAGATGTGTGTACAAAAGGATTATCGATATTCCAC